AGCGAAGATCTGAGTACGTTCGCTTTCCCTTGATCTAGATCCACTCACTTCGCTAATAAAAATATCTGTTCTTCTCCTTGCAGAACGCGATGTTGCTGTGGCTCGGACCGCTTATGCCGACGGTGAGCGGTCGATCACGGAGCAGAAGGCTCAGATCTTGAAGTCAAGTCGACAACTGGCCCGCCTTGATCAGGAACGCACAGATCTGCGGCGCGAACTGCGGAAGGCGCTGGAAATGTAGTCCACGGTGGCCGCTGGGATGGGATCAAGTCCTCAAACGACCAAACTTTGTCTCGATAGTCCTCTCCGAGATCAAGAGCAGACAGATCAAGAGAAGCGGGATCAAGAAACCTCAGATCATGACAAACCATGTCAAGGGAGTTCAGATCAAGACAGCCAAAGTATGGAAAGTGGGGATCGCGACAAGTCAGCTGAGGATCAACCAAGTCAAGAGAGCTCGGATCACAACATGTCGGATGAAGGCAACTCAGAGCTCGACCAGTCTGATCAAGATCGGCGCAAAAATCCCGACTATACACCCACGTCTAACGGGTCCGATGAGTCTCCTTCGAAAGACAAGCCTCGAGATCTCCCACCCAGCAAGAGATCCCGTGATCCCTTCTCGTGACATGGATCGTCCTCCCAAGCGGAAAGCTCCGATGACCGAAGAACATAAGAGGGATCTGGATCGCGAGGAAGATCAAGACGACTATGACATGGGTGGGGGCTCGGACGTTGAAAAACCTTCGGATCCGGACCACCCTACGCTCGACAAGATGTTGAAGAAATATCGCGGGGCTGCAAGTCCTGTTCCAACCCCCGAGCTGCGCTACTTAGCTTCCGAGAAAGATGGATCCAAGCAATCCTGCACCCCAGCCAGCCCGGATCCTGCGATCAAGCCTAAGCCCAAGTCCAAACCACGATCAACGGGTGATCCCAAGCCTTCTAAAGACACGGGTCTAGAGGAAGAAGATCAAGAGTTGGAGGCAGACACTTCGGCCGGCGGCGATGAGGACGAGTCGCTAAATGACATGCTGCAAGCTCAGACACTCATGGCTCTTTCTCGATCTAGATCCGAGCAGAGACGACGTGATCATGCTGCTCCTCGGCGTACCGGAGCCGGAGGCGCTGGGGATCCTGGATCCGGCGGTGATTCCGACGGTGACGACTCAAGCAACGGCAGTGGTGGTGGGGGCGGCGGATCTTCTGCGGATCCGGCTTGAATGCCCCTCGTTTCTACCATGCTTCCCCGACGCCAGTTCGCCCCCGACAACGTATGCATCCCTGGCCGCCAGCAGACTCGGCAATACAACATTGTGGATGTGGATCCGTGGGTGATTCAGCGGATCAACACTCTGACGATCATGACGATGACTTTGGAAGTGTTGTCACGTGCACTGCCATTTCGCCCTGAGTGGATCCTCCCCAGCCATCTTCCTAGATCTGCCGTCCCCAGATCAGGTCAGTACTGCAGTCATTTGATCACGGGTCAGAATGTCCGCGATCTCATGGTAGCTCTTCCCTGGAACGTTCTCACTGGCGCGAACATCCCCGAGCCCATGTCGTTTGAGATCACAGTCGATGGTCGTTTGGGGTTCCTGATCGAGAGATATTCCGCGGTGGAGTTCCAAGATCGGATCGCCTATTGGGAGTCCACGCATCGCTTTCCAGTTCCATCCTCCTTGATCCGTAGCGATCCATACTTGGCCACTTTCGTCGTAGAGCGGAAGAACCATCGAACTCATGCGGGCGCCCGGTGGAAGCAGATCTTAAATCCCTTCTTGATCGCGATGCGTGAGGGCTGGCGTGATCTGGATCTGCTGTTGGATTCATACTTTCTTCACTTCCAGCGCACGGACGAGGTGGCTTGGTATCCCGGGATCGAGGCTCGCAGTGCTAATCTCGCCGATCCCCAGCTGAACCGTCGTGAGCCTGCCGACCTAATCGAGGCCCTCGCTGAGTGCGTGCCGCGGATCCGTGGCGTACTTATTACCGACGGCATCATGCAGGTCACCCCGCTCGCCGGATCGCTCGTCTCGCCGGTAAGTTCTTCAACATGGCGGCTCTAAACCCTAACGCGCCACCTCCCGCTCCTCAGCCATGATCCTGACCTCTCTCCGCATGTTCTCTTCAGATCACTTACGTTAAGCATAATGCATGTCATTTCGTTCCAGATCTGAGTTCACCTATATCTCCATGTTTGTCATTTGCCCTTTGATCCATAATTTCTCCAGTGATACCTTCTTAGATCCACAGTCGAAATTCAACCTGCCCATTCTATATCCATCTCAGAATCAATCTCACTCCACTTCATTCCTCTGCTAACATGTCATCATATACAAAGTCACATAACCCCTGTCCTCCGATCTGCAACCTCCTTGCAGATCCATCGACTTTCCGCCATACTAGTGACCAACTCACCAGTGTGGGTCCAGATCTCACGGTTCCTCGTGAGATTGCATTACACCAAAACGGTTGCGATTGGTGCGATCTCGCAAGAATTCATAAAGGAGAGCACCGCAGTTGAGATCTGCCTCGTCTATCCAGGTTGGATCTTCGTATCCACGCCAATGTACCAAGAATTCTCGGTAGATCCGGCCGTATCTCGTCCTCTTGCCAGTTCTCATATCGGAAATTCGCTCCACTTCGTATTCATCCAGATCTCGATCTTGGATCCAGCTATCCTCAGGTTGGAGGGCTTCGTCGAAATCTACCCGATCCTCATCTGACCCATTCAGCGGAGCTACTGGTCGATCTGGGAATACCTTGACCAGTTTGATCTTCGACTGGGAAAATGCTGTATGCGGATCCTGCTATCTCCAACTTCACAGCATACTCTCCGATCTTTTCGGCAACGCGGAATGGGCCATGCCATAAGTGTACCAGCTTTTTTGCGTAACCTTCACGCACTCGATCTAGGTATAGCCAGACCCTTGATCCAGACTCTATAGGGTGTGGTCGTGCTAGATCGTTATGCGTATCGGCCCGATCCGCAATCGCCTCCCGTAGTCGTTGGTTCACCTGTTCTCTGGCCTGCTGGTAATACTTTTGCATTTGATATCGCCACCTTCTTGGATCTCGATCGTGCTTGCGAGTGCTTCCCACTGGGAGCACAGCTTCCAGTGTGGATCTAGGATCCCAGCCCTGTATCATATAGAAAGGTGTTTTGCCCCGTGTTTCGCCTCGGATCCGATCCCTTGCGGTGTTGATCGCGAAGGTGAGTCGTTCAGCATACTCATCCCAATCTCGTTGATCCAGATCCTCCACGTACATCTTTAGAGCTCTGGTAGTTGTCTGAACCATGCGCTCCGCAGATCCATTGGCTTGGGGTCTATATGCCATAGTAGCCCGTTGACGTTGTCCCAGGATCTTGTTGAACGACTTAAAGAAGTCAGACATAAAGCCCGGCTCCCGATCATGTCGGACCACCTCGCTCGCGCCGAATCGACGAAAGACACATTCCTCGTAAGTCTCGGCGATCGTTCGAGCGGATCTAGAGGCGCTGGCTTTGGCGATTACATACCGAAAATCAACAACTCAGTGTTGCCGTTGAAGGATCTAGGCAGTGAGGGTATATGATCCATGGCTATGATCTGAAATGGGTACGTTGCCTGGAGGTTACCAGGTGATTCGCCCTGGATCCGAGGTCTTCCCTTGCCTGTCTCACAGTCGACACATTCCCCCACATATTGTTGTACACTCTTATACAGACCTCTCCAGTGGAATTGATCACGGATCCGATCATAGGTGCGGCCGACCCCTTGATGACCACCCTGTAGACTCGTATGATAGTGGTGCAAAATGTCCTGTTGAAGAGTACTAGTCGCATCAACTTATCTCGATCTACAGCAGTCTCCTTCGTCGTCGGGCAATAGAAGAGGAGATCCTGCTGATCCACTTCATAATTCATAGCAATAGATCCAAACATCTTAGCTTCTTCTTGTGTCAGATCCCGGATCTCCCCGATCAAATACTTCTTCAGGCCCATGATCCACGACTCCTCGTCCTGCGCTTGTCGGATCCGTTCGATCCGCAGCTCTCTCACGACTTCCTCTCGTAGGGAGTCTGGATCGGATCCCGCACGCACCCCAATCTAGCCTTAGATCGGGTCGTCACCGCTGATACCCGTACAATTTCTTCTTCGACCTTCACTATCAGGATCTCGGCTAGTCGATTTAAAGTTATGAGATCCTGGATCTCTGCATCTGACTCTATCTCGATCCCACATCGCCGTTCTAGAGCAGCACTTGCTAGGCTGTCAGCACTCCCATTCCCGTCTCGTTTGACGTGCAATAGTTCATGATCAGGCCACGTACGTAGTCGATCCAAGGCTCGTTGACGTAACAGTGTCAAACCCGGCGCCTTACAATCGATCTCTCCTCGTACTTCTCGGATCACCAGGTTTGAGTCTCCGCAGATCACCAGATGCTGTGGATCCAGATCCTCCAACAGATCCAGACATAGTAACAACCCATGGTATTCTGCCTCATTCACCGTCAAGCCTTCGGCATACCCTGATCTAGCTTTCACCACCCTCCATTCGGGCAGCCTCCACAGGATCGCGCTGTAGGCGCCTCCACCCCTCTTGACACGGGCTGATCCATCGAAACTGACGACATATAGTTCCTCATCTCGTCCGATAGTGGGGATCGGAGCTTGGATCTTGCGTCTTGGCTCCTTTTTGGGGGCGATTGAGATCAACGCCTTATCCACTTCTGATCTAGGGGTGATATTGGCTGCCAATGCTCCCAAGATCTCGTCTTCTCCTTTGACACACTTCGTAATCTCAAGTGTCCAAGGCGACAACAGAGCGGCCCATTGTCCCAGACGTCCTTGCAAAGCCGTGGATCTGAAAAGCCACGCCAATGTTGAGTGTCAGGTTAACACATGGATCGGACGCCCAACCAACGCATTGTAATTCAGATCCAAGATCCTCAGAAGGGCTAATACCTCCTTCTCCGCGATGCCGTAATTCAGCTCATTCGACTTCAGAGTACGGCTGGCAAACGTCACAGGATAGTAGATCTGGTCGTATTCCTGCATCAACGCTCCTGAGATGGCCCAGTCACTAGCGTACACCACCACCGTAGCCTTCCGATCCGGGTCAAAGTGTCGTAAGATCGGAGTTGTAGCAATCCTGATCTTGAGCACGTTGAAGGCCGATGAGCATGGATCCAACGTGGATCTACCTCCATAGGATCAGGCGCCACCAGATCCAAGATCCTTCGGTGGTCGACATCCTGATCTTCCTGTGATCTTGGATCTACATATTCTGCTTCCAGTATTTGTTGGATCCGCCCTTGGGTCGTCTCCTTCGTCATCGCAGCAAAGTCGATTTCTCGCAATTCGTA